CTTTTTGTATAGCAATTCGAGGGTCGCGAACTATATATCTGGCACACAAATAGCCATACATGTAATCATGTTTTATTATATAAGGCAAATGTTACTTGATGTTTGGTCAATGTTAATGAGGTCACAAAGAGAAAATGATGTCATTCATTAATTGGATTGATTGTTAAGGAAGGGAGATCTTTAACATGATGTTTGTTTTGGTGCCCAGTGAAAGTAGGCTGGGAAGGAGTTTGTCTTACTTGAGCAATTCGCATTAGCATTGGAGAGAACTACTAAAGTGGAAAACGCACTGAAGCCTAATTTATCTCTTTTATGGAAGTAATTTCATTAATTCGCGATTTACATTAAAATCACCCTCGTATACCTGCATATGGAGTTTTTGTTTCCAAGCTGATTCGATACGAAAGAACATCTCCATGAACGATTAAATTTTAAAGCAAAACAATTTGATAACAGGGAAATTTTTGAAAAAAAGATATATAAAAAAAATATGGAATTATTAATTTGCAAGTTTTATATTCTACACTGACCTTATCAGCAAATTCAATGCTAAATGACGTTTCTCATACATGTTCTAATTATTAGGCAAGTACTTTGAAATAATAAAATTTTCGTGGGGGTTTAATTTTCGTTGTTTTTGAGGTATGAAGACACCCACAAATTCATGCCCACCACGAAATGTAAAATGTTACATACATAACCTACTCAATAATTCTTCATCCACGAATTCAAATCCCCACGAACCAAGAGTTTTTGCTCAAACCACGAAAATTTGACCCCAGGAAAATATTTGATTTTACAGTACTTTCATACTTAAATTTCTTTGATTACCCGATCATGATAAAGAGCACATGGTGGGTATGATCGATCGAGAAGAATGCCTCTTCCTCCATGGCACCTGATCCCACCTCTGATGTTTTTTTAGGTTCATGTGTGGTTTGCTCCCTCTTTATATAGTTTTAATGAGCCTGAATTCGACTAGTTTGTTTTGTTTGATATTTTCCATGCTTCAGAATTTTATCTGGTGCGTTATACTTCCAAAGCAAGACCACCTGTATCATATATGCGTATATCATTGATGATTTTTTTTTGTTTTCATTGCAGAATGGAAGAAGGATTTGCAGATTATAGAAATAATGTGCATCGTGCTTGGACTGACCTCGCTTTCATTGTTGCTGTCAGTCTCTGTATTAACTGTGGTAGCAACCAAAACTATTGTAGCTGGAATATTTCGGGCTCTGGCAATCATAACGACTATTGTGACAAGTAATCTTTTTTAAATATTCATGCTAAAAGGGTTTGCTTTTATTACATAAGAAATGTAAATTATTTAAATTTTTATTATGGAATACCGGTATATTATACATTTATTTTTATATTTCAGGTTTATTGATAATAATCGGAGCTTTGTTGTACAACTACCAGAAAGTGAAGATGTTTTCTTTCAATGCGCGGAATCCGGCCAGTAACTATCCTATACAGGAGGAGAGGGTGTCCTACGGCTTTATACTGTCCGTGGTCAGCAGTGTCCTGTTGTCTACATCCGCCGTGATAGAAATCAGTCAGCTGATCATAGCGGATGGTAAAGCCTCCAGTCACAGAGGGATACAACCGCTGAACAACCTAGACAAGAAACCGGATGAAAAAAATTAACTCCAAACCATTTTTTCTACTTTGAAATAATGTGATACGTCAATATAAATGTAATAAAAAATTTACATACTTATGCTCTTGAGTTCTGAGACAATGACATTGTTTTTCTGATATTTGACAATTAAGTGATAGTTTGCAATCTGTGTAAAAATCAATTCTTCTTGAACGTGACATGAAAACTCTTCCCACCCTTATCTTTCAGCAGTTTAGATAGATTGATTGTTAAGGTTACATGTGATGATTTCATAAAGTATCTAAATCCAAAAGTCAATACATTTAGACCCACGGAAAATTAATCGTAGCACGAAAGCTTTGGGGATATGTATTTAGATATTAGAGGCATCTGCCAAAAAATCTTTATCGTCGACTACTTATCTATGTTGTCCCTGACTGGGAGCATACAACATCTACCATTACTCAATTTCGATCGGTTTAAACAATTTAACGATGAACCATTTGTTTCGCTTCTGTCGTTTAAACAAACTTGGTAGTGACATTGAGTAAAACACTGTGTAATTTTTCAAATCACATCGGTACCCCGTTGTCGTTTTCTCTTGTCAATGTATCTTATATCATAGATTTTCACAAGTACTGATCAATACTTGATTGATTAATGTTAACAATGAAATTGTCCTAGCTTTTCCTTCAAATTGATAACAAAGATGGACTAGAGAATTCTTTTTTCCCCAAAATAAAGGGTACTTACTATACATTAACTATTAATCTAAGTATCGTTTAAATAAATCACATACTACAAGCAAAGAATTTTGATTGCCCTGAATTCCATCTACAATGTATTGTTTTTTTTTCAATATGAACATTGAAGAAAAATACTTTGCCGGTTGGTCTGTGTTTTACTAAAATTGTTATTAATCTAATCAGAAGCCACTTGGATCATCTAATCAGAGGCTATATGGAAGTACAATGTAGATATTTATCATAGTAAATTATATTAATTTATCCTCATAAGGTTATTTTAAATCTTTTTGGGAGGGAGGAGTCAATTTCACTGAATTTTTAAAAAAAATCAATTGGGATTTTAATTAGCCCAAAAACCTTTGCCGAAGGCTTTTGGGATGATAAATACTTCTCCTTTTTTATGAAATTGTTGTTTTTTTTTTTGAAATAAGAATGTCAAATTTTGTGTACACAAATTTTAAATAGTTTAGGCTGTGAAAGATAGTTTCCCCCTATTTTTGCACAATAAAAATATTTACTATCACATAGCAAATATTGGCCATCAAAGCTTTTAAAATCTTCTGAATGGGATTTTTAAAGATACTATATATATATATATATATATATATATATATATATAAAGCACATTTTACAACAACTCTTAAACTAATATAACTGCCCTAAGTGAAGAAATATTAATATAGAAAGCACAAAGAAATTCACTTTTACATGGATACCCACTTCCGCCCCAGCCCGGGGTTGAACTCTCGACCTTCGGAATCTGTCTCCTAGCAGTGCAGGAACAGCGCGCTAGACCGCTCGGCTATCTAGGCAAGTCAAAAAACTTGCTTTCGATGCCGATGGAATTCTCGCGGCGCTGCCCTACACTACACGGTCATTGAGAATAGAAGTGAGATATATAATTATTAATATATATATATATATATATATATATATATATATATATATATATATATATATATATATATATATATATATATATATATACTAGTATCTTTAAAAATCCCATATATATATATATATATATATATATATATATATATATATATATATATATATATATATATATATATATATATATATATATATATATATGAATAAAAAATAATATATATATAAATATATAAAAAGTTAATTTATTTCTATTTTACAAAAAAAAAATCATTGATTTTCATGCAAAGTTTAACAAGGAATTTTCTAAAATGAAAATAAAACTAATATTTTTCAACTCAATTTCTTTCCACGACTGACAAAATCTAAATTCATGTCATCTAAAGCTCTGTCATATTAGTACTAAATCATACAACCCTAAGATAATACAAAGCGTTGAATAATTGAATATTGAAATGTGCTTTTTTGCAGTTTTCAGATTTCATACGTTTGTAGAAATAGAGAAATAAGGCGTTGATATAATTCGTGACAATGTAAAAGAATTGCATATAAATTGACATTATAACACAAGGTAACTCTGAAGTGGCTTCGTATATAAGAATATGATAATTAAAATAAACAAGTTTGCCCATATCAGCATTGAACATATTAAGCAAAATAAATCAATATTTTTCACTTTTATCACCAAAATAATTTTAAACAGATAAACTTTACAATATTGAATATTTACTCTTTAGTTCCATTGTAAATGTTTGAGTTTTATTCAAAATCCCGAAAGGACTTATTTGCTGTGTACAAACCAGTTTACCCGCTAGATTATGTATTTACGACTTCCATATTAGGTTGAAGAAATGTTCAATTTAATGATAAGGCCTTGGGAAGATTGTATCAGGGATGGGAAAATCAATAGTAAATAAAAGAACACAATAAATCTTACCTGTATCAGACTTATCAGTGGTAAATTCTCTTCTTTTCAGAACAAAACTACACCCAAATTTCATTGTAATCATACAGGTTGATATTTATAATTTATTCATTTAAGAACCCTTTTTACTACAGGAACTATGTGATTAAAAAAAAGAAAATAAGTTAGATGAATTGTCATAGAAAATTAAATGACCAATAAGATAATATTGAGAGAAATTATCCACATCATTTGATTTGAGAAAATATATTTTTTTTCTTTTCATGACCGGGGCTTTTCTGTGCAAAACAATTGTAATGTTTTCTAATCATAATTTTCAAATTGGTTTTTGTTTTTTGTTTAACGTTCCTCTCAGGAATTTTTCACTCATATGGAGACGCAACACAAGCCAATGGAGAGCTGCAAATTTTATCTTATATTCGGCACTTATAATTAGTGCTATTGAGCTGTGAGGGATCTTTATTTTTGTGCCAACACCTACTGCGACAAGGGGCCTCAGTCTATACGGTCTCATCCGAAGGACCGGTCTCCACTTTCTACATTGGGAATCAATATATTAAGGTTGTTTGACATGCATTAACTTGTATAACTACGGAATTTAATAAATCGTAAGAACTAAACCATGGAATTGTAGGATATATCCTGCCCATGGTTTTAGCATCACCGAATACGAGATAAAACAAACAGAGTGAGTGATAACAATGTTTTAATTTGACAACACTTTTCAATAGCCAAAGCTCTCCCCTTTTAAAGTCTAAAAACAATCCTTGTTAGCGGAAGTGTAATTTAAAATTTGTATAATTTATTTTTTAAAAATCTTCTTCTTTACAAAATGTCTTGTTGCACAAAGTGTGGAGTGACTAAATATCGTGCATTTACTTTAATTCTGCTTGGAGTGGCTATAGCTATCCAGTCCGTGTCGGTTGCACTTCCGGTGTGGAGTGAGATAAACACAAACTACTTTACATACACCATCAGGGCGTATCAAAACCTGTGGACAGTTAATATCCTTGAGGATGGGCAAGCTGGAGCCTTCCCAAAAGAAAAGTCGAAGATGAATGTCGGTAGGTTATTGTTATAGAATGTCCATTGAATATATTTTACACCTGTCCTTGATCTTATTTAGATCCCTATTTTTTTCAAGTTCAAGTCATATGACATATCAAACACATCACCTAGTATATAATTGTTCATTCCCAACAATAACTTGTCATTTCTATCAATATTTCGATTTCATATTACACCATTTCTAGTTACTACAACAACAATTGATAATAAATAAATAAATACAATATGTAAATAGTAAAAAAAAAAGTTTTAAAAAGTACTTTGAAAGGATATTTGAAATCGATTTTCTTATGCAAAAATATCAAATATTGAACCAGTTTAAACAAATACACTTCCTCAGTCTGCAATCTTGGTAATAGAGGATACAAAATGTGATGAATCCATAGGAATGTTAAATAAATTACTTTGAAAATCCTACAAAACATAAGATAGCCACACTTTTTAGTAAATATTGAAGCATGTATTCACGTAAAGAATTGGAAATCTCGAGTTTTCTTTTGTTTTGTAATTTGATTTGCATGTTTGTTTGGGGTTTTTGTTTATTTGCGTGGTTGTTTTCTTCTCATCGGGATTTTTAAAATCAATTAATGTACATAAACAAAAACTTTTTCAAGATATTTTGGTAAATAAGCACCCTCATACATTTATAAAAGTGCTACATATAAATCTGATTTCTATAGATGGACATACCTGAACAAAATACATGTATATATGGAAAACGACAATTTAAAATTTCAGAGTTACGAAACAAAACTTGAAAAAACAGATACATGTACTTTTAATGGATTATGAACGAATGGCTTTGCATCTTACAGGTTGGAAGAAAGACCTACAGAATGTAGAGGTTACTTGTATTGTAGCAGGGTTGCTCGGTTTATTCTTGCTTTTGCTGTCGTCGATTACTCGCAAGATGGCGCTGTTAGCAGGAATCTGTCGACTTTTTGGAATTTGTTTTAGTCTCTTAGCAGGTGATCTGTATAAATGTATAAAGAATTGCTATACTATTTGCTTTTCATTTTTATCCCCCTTTGCATGTTTTTTCCTTATATATTTTTCAATTCGCGGTAAAAATAAGTTTTTTCCCCTTTAATGTTCCTGTATTTTATTTAAAACAATTAACATTCTGTTTGGATTTTGCAGCTATAGAGGTACTGGTGGGTTCCCTTCTGTATGAATATCAACACAGAGAAATTTTCTCTATCAATGCGAAAGATCCAAAAAACTACTACCCCACAGACAAACTGGAGCTATCATCCGGGTTCTTCATCTCCACCACTGCTGGTGCTTTGTACGCACTAGTGGTGACTGTCGAAATTGTGGTCTTAGCAGCAAATAATGTGAAGTCAGAAAAGGAAAAGAACATGGTGACATCATTTTCATAGAGCTTTGCATTGTGTGCATGTCCTATTTATGGTGATTTACAAATCATATAAAGATTCTGACGATTCTGTAATCTAAGAATAAAACCCAAAGGGCTATATAAACAATATTTATATTAAATGTACCCCCGGCAAAAATCTCCTCAAATAAGGTCTATTATAACGAAAGTTCGTATAAAGATTAAACAATCAATGTATGTTTTGTAAGACAGAAAATTTTGTATTTTCTGAATTACACAAATGTTTAACTTGTGTTAGTTGTTCTAACATTGAAACACAATTATACATCATCATACTAGGATCTCGTATGTTGTTCAGTAGGACATTGAGAGATGCAATTGACCTTTGGCTCGGGCTTTTAGTACATGACATTCTGATTACATGAGAGTCTACTTACATTTAAATAGTTCTGATATCACTATAAGCGACGATGTTGGAAGACATGAAGACTTCTCTATTTAGAACATCAAGAACAGTTAGAAATGGCCAAAGATTGACAAAACATTCATGTTTGAAATTTCTTTTGTTCAAATCTATAAACATTAATAGATGTCTAGCCCTTCAAAACAATCACAAGACAATTTTAATTAAATCTTTATCCAATATTTTGACATGTTTCCTTTTCATCAAATTAAAATATTGAAAAAAAGAGGAACAAGCTACATGTAGTGTCTCTAATTTTACATGAAATGAATTTGTTTGCGTTGCATAAATCTAATCGAAATTGCCACTCCATCCGAAAATGGTATCCTCTCAAATTACCCCCTGAGTAACTTAAGTTGATCGAATGAAAAACAATTGCTTTACTGTCTTGTTTGTTGTACATTTGAAAGCTGAACCAATTCCAAATCCGTCAAGTTTCTTTTCTTTGGCAAGGAATCCTTTTGATTCTTTTCGTAGAATGTTGTTTTGCTGTTCCTATTTCTCAGTTCAACTTCGACTCATAAAAATTGTCAACGAATTCTTACTTTTGTGTTTCGTTTGAAATTAAAGGCAGATATATATGTTACTAGCAGCAGATCCGTTGCGTTGTTCATTCAACTACCTCTCTAATTTTAGACGTATTTTTAACCACTAACCCTTTACATGTACACTCGTCTCGCTAGACTATTAAACTCGCTTGTTTTGCATTTTCCGTCATGCAACAAAAATTCATAACAGGCGAGTTTATTATTGTAGAAGGTTAGGAGGTATATAAAAAATATGTCTAAAATTAGGGAGTGAAAGGTTGTAATATTATCAATGCTGAAAAGTGGAGAAGTTCTTCCAAACCGTGTACAGAAATATAAATTACACAATATTTGCATCGCGGAATCTGTAGCTTTATGGGCAAAGACTAATATTTAAAACCATAACGCTACAGATTTACAGCTAATATATATGTAACATACATGTGCGTATGTAAAAACTAAAAGTAAACAGGCGTATTTTGGCGTTTAAATCGCTAAAATCATCAGTATAAATCATTCATACATGAAGTTTAAGGTGAAATATCCCTCAGTCTGTTCGTCATGATAGAGATACATTTATAGATGTACATAATACTATTGAAAGAATATATTTTCTCCTTATTTCTATCTTTATTTTCTGTCTTCTTTGCTTTTCATTCTGACTCTTTCTGAATCTGTCAATCATCTCGTGTCCGCTGGTCCACTTATTTTTCATACTGTCGCCATTTATATTGATCGTCTAAACTATCAAATTAAGTTGGATTTATTCAAATCTAAAATATATATGAGCTTTGACAGTCGAGAAAAATGAATAATGTGTTTTCAAATTTTGTACCATAAGTTACTTTATAGCGTGAGTCATCAACTACCTAAAAAGTAAATAACATCAAAACGAATATTTTGTAATACACTCTATACAACATTCTCTCTCGTTGTATCTTTTTAAATCACAGACAACTTCTTCAATAAAAACGAAATTGAAAATGTTTACATGTTGTTATTGTTCTTAAACAAATTTAATTCGTCCAAAATCATTGACTCTACAAACAAGTACCCTGAGGTTGATTTTAAAAGGATGCTGGAGTTCCTCATGAGCAACATATACGTACATGTAGTCTTCAAAACCTTATCCCGATGGACTCTGTTTGTGCTCCTTTAAACTCCTGTCACACCGGGGCTGCGTCCTCACGCGACTGCATGCATGGCGTCCTCAGAAAATACAGAACGCCGAGGTGATCGCAGTAGAGTCTCCTACAGCGCCGTGACAACGCGGTGAGATCTCCACTGAACGCCGTAGGGTTGCGTAGGGTCTCCTAGAACGCCAGAGGACGGCGATCACTTTGGGCATGCACAAAGTACGCGCCGTGTGATCGCGGTCTGATAAGAACGCAGTAGGAACGTAGTATGATCGCCGTAGCAGCGCGTTGAGATCTCCAACAACGTAGTGGGAGCTCCGTACAAACGCCGTGAAGACGCACATGATCGTGGCACGAACGCAGTGATAGAAGACTGCGCTTCCACAGAGACCTCACGGAGATGTCGCGGAGTCCTTGGAGATGTCACTGCATTTCTATCGCGTTTTTACGGCGCTTCTAATGAGATTTATCGTCTTGTTATTTTTCCGACAGCGATTACACGGCGACAGCACGGAGTTGTCACCGCGATCGTTGCGCTCTTGTGGCGTTTCTACAGCGTCCGTTGGCGATCACAATGCGCTTTCACGGCGTTGTTAGAGCGTTGTTAGCCAGCTCACAAAACAAGAGCAATGGGATCATAATTCCAACGTATTTGATTCACTAGGAGCATATAAGTAAAACATGGAAGAGAAAATTACACCAGAACTTGTTCTGTTGTTTCACTTAAATTTTGTAGAAAACTTTTCAGTGTGTTTATTTTTTTTTTTACGTTCATAATAAAATCAAAGAAAATCTAACAACACATCTGAACCGATAAAATTGAGAAAAAAAGAGTTTATTCATAAAAGTATTAATAATGTAGTACTAAATTATTTAAATAGATAATTTTTAATTATTAAGAATTTTTTCTTGGCATGATAAGAAGTCTTTTCATCGTGTAACTTGAATCTTTAAACAAAAATGTTTTACATTCCTTCTGAATATTTATCAATGAGTATAGAACGCATTGTGAACGTATTGTGAACGCAGCCAGCGCAGTGAGAACGCCGTGAACACAAGGTGAAAACTCCTAACGCGCCGTGAAAACTCCGCGGAAGCGCAGTCAGTCGCCGAGAGATCTCCGTGGGAACGCAGTAGATCGCCGTGAGATCGCCGTAGAATCGCGACCGTCGCAGTAGGAACGCCGTGACATCTTCACATTGTGAAAATTTTACAGAAATTTGCGCAATTTTCCTGCGATTCCACGGCGATTTTAAAAATTTAACAACGCCGTAATGACTCCGTGTGAACGCAGGTCGGTGTGACAGGGCCTTTACCAGCCAAAGCAAGCGATTCACATATAAGCTGAAGTTGATAGAATTTCAACAAACTCATTTGAAGTCAGCATATTTTGTAAATCCTGTGGTGGTTATGATAACGTTTTTGGCTAATATAGTCTAATATCTGGTGGTATTTTGCTGACTTGTTTCACACAACTTGTGACGCCTTATTTTGTTCTTTGATATAAATTTGAATACAGAATGACTGTCTACTATATCAAGATTACATGACAAGTACGTACTGATCCTTACTAACAAAGCAGGTATCAACATTGTATTAGTTTGTAAGTGTATTTTAGAAAAACTTGGATTTAATTCTACAAGTGGTAATCAAACTTAAACTCATCAGTTCTCTTTCTAAGGAAACATTCTTCAAAATCATTTGTCAGATTTGAATGTTTTTTTTTTTGATATCCCAAACAACCATAATGAATTCAAATTACCATACCTCTATTGGATTCCGAAACTTCATTAAATTCCTAACAATCAGAAATACCTAGCGGATTCCAGTAAATGTTCAAGTAACCCTCTGTCTTTACTCCTCACTAAAATATTAACAGTAGTGAAGGTGAAACTTCAAGAGTATTGTGTAACAATATATTCGAGAAGTGTTGTAAATCAGATGCAGATGCTTACAAATTCAAAGGAACTTTTGAAAAAAATTGAAATCAAAAGATTTTACTAATATCAACAGCTGAAAAATTTGCGCAACCATTCCCCACGATAAATTAAAGTCGCGGCTTTTTTTTTTAAATAATATTTACAGGTGCTTTTTCAATGAAAATGGAACTCGTAAATTTACTTACCTTGTCATTGGTCATTTGCAAAATTATTTTGTTCAAAAACATTGATTGTACACACAAGTACACTGAAGTTGACATCAAAAAGATGCTTGAGTTTCTGATTGACAATATCTATGAAGTTTTTGGAGACCAGTCTTTCAACGATCTATTGGAATTTCCATGGGTACCAAATGCGTCTCATTATTAGAAAACCTATTTTTTTTATCAACATGAAGCAAAATTTGCTCAAAATTTTATACGTGAAAAGAAGAAATTAGTTGCTGTAGCCTTTAACTCGACATTTAGATATACTGCGTTTTGAAACAAGTTGATGAAACATGAATATCAGCAGTCTCGTTTAAAGTCATCATTTCGTAAGTTCTGTGGTCGATACAATGACCTTGTCTGCAAATACAATTTATCATTAAGTCATTGAGTTACTGACGTCTTTCATACTAATTGTTATGCCATTATTTACACATTGAATTTACAGCGGATTTTCCCTTTATTTCCTTATCATGACAAAGAGCTCACGGTGTATGTGACCGTCGTCAGGAGATGCTCACTCCTCCATTGCACCTGATACCACCTCTGATGTTTTGGAGGTCCGTGTTTGCTCTGCTCCTATTTTGTATTGTTTTATTGACTTTAAAAGCTTAAAAACTGCCCGTTTTCTCAATATAATTCATCAATAAATATGGCGGATGAAACCAGATAACAGAGGAAGCTTTCTCCTCCTGTGCACTTGATTCTATCTCAGTAATTCCCAGTGGTCCGTATTTATACCCTGTTCACATTTTTGTATTGTTTAAACTTTTTATGAGAATGTTCACGGTTCGTTATCTTTACCCTATCAATACAAGAGATTAAACTCGTTAACGAATTCAAAAAATTATAACAAATTAAATTCGTTACAGGAAATCCAACAATTCGTTACATCAAATTAAAAAATTTAGGTTTGATAGGTCCTATATGGGCTTCCCTTTAAACATGATATAACGATTTAAATTGCATTAAACAAATTTCGACAAATCGTTATCTCCATTAAATTAAGGTTTTAATTAGCTCTGTACATGGGTTCTATAATTAGACAGGTCCCGTAAATACCGAAGCCCAGTCATGTAGTTTCTATGAAATCATGCTTTTTAAAAAGGTGTAATAGCGCTTTTTGCATTAAAACACCTTCTTTTGTACAA